GTTTACTCTGCTTAGCGCAGAAGCTCCGTGGACAAGGGTGATCAGCGCAGTCTTGGTGGTTGGTGAGAGGTATGGTTTTTATAATCACTGTCGTTTCACAATTCTTGGGCCTTTTGGGCAAATGTACCCTGATGGCTTACTTAGTCTTTGGTTACAAGATAAGGCCATTTGACGCAAGATGCACACTGAAAATGGAAATTATTTGCCACAGAAGTCTTTGAGTTAGAAAATCAATCAATGTTTTGGGTCGTGTTCCACAAAGGCTCAAATGTGGCTCGAGCTTCAAGAAATGCCTTTTGAAGTGCCAGGCGCCTCCTTTCCCTAGCATTCAGGACAAACACTCAGGAAGAACAGCCGAAAATCCTGAACAACGAAATAAACTTACCGATTTCACCACCGCAGAAGCAACGCGGCCAGTGTCAGTAGGTCCTCTATAGGGATCCCACATATATGCCCCACACACCACAAGAGCACTTTTTGGCGGTTTCGGCTTTTTGCGGGGTTACAGTGCGTTCCGTGGCTCTGAATCAATGACACTTTTGACACGATTGGTCTTTAGAGAATGTGGAGGGAGAAAGGGGGGGGTGGATGAGGGGCAGGTCCCATCAATAAGATTGACCACCTATTCCACCTATTACGGATGACCCTATTTGAGCCAGGAGATGTCGCGGCAATCGTGGCAGGGTCGTGCATTCGGGCCAGTAATCCCTACCAGGGCAAGTCAACGGCCTTCGCTCGTGGTCCTAGTTTCGGAACAATCGGGATCTCCTGTCACACCGCCTACTGAAAGAAAACTTCCACTAACAGAGAGTTTTGCTTGAAAATGCCAGCTTTTTTATTCATATAATTCATAACCTATAATCTATTCTAAGTGTCTCCTTTCGCTCTTGTACTGAGAAGAAGTCGTTCTGAGAGAAAGAAACAGAACGCGGCAATAAGTGAGGTGGTCACCAAAATCAGAAGGTGCCATTGCAGCATTAACATCGATGAGTAGAAGAATGCAGCGCAGGAAAGGAGTGACTGAAATAATAAAATTCTATCAAAGTTTTCAGAACAATTGAAAAAAAATCAGGTCACCCACTTGATAGAATTTGAACAGAGCAAACGCTTCACTGCTTTTATCTGCGTACACATCGCAAAGGAACGCATAAATTTGGTGTTCCAACAGGCATCGCCAAATCCGAGCAGTGCTCCACAAACCAATGCTATCGCAACGCTAAAGATTTCAAGATTTTGTAGAATCTGAGCGAATTTCCTCAGGAAATATTGATCGTCTTGGGGTAGGATTCAGGATGAACCGTTGTGCTCGAATTTCGAGAAGAATTAACGACCTTCATCTTAGGGGATCTCGATACGATACCCCCTAACCACCCCACCAGAAGTGAAAAGATCACCTACAAACACAGTCTCCCTCCTCCTTCCACCCCTCCACCACCACAACATGCTATTTCCACAGTATTCGATCACAGGACCAGGCGACACTCTCCAACTAGACCCAAGCGAAAAAATACTCTGAAACCGTTTTCCAAGAAGGAAAGGGGAGAGGAATCTTCATATGTAGACTGTGAAACAACAGTGCTCCAGAAAAATCCATTCCATGACCTCCTTCTCAACAAAACTTCCCTCACCCCTGGAAAATATTCGCTCTCTTCCACAGACGCGATTCCCTTCAACTCCCACGAAATTCACCCTCTCACTCGGGGTTTTTGAAAGGTAGTTAAACTAGTCAACTACAAATACAGGGGGGGGCAATAAAAAAAGACATTTTGTCTCCAGACTCAAATGGATTTAATCACACTTTGCTCAGCTCAAAGCGTGTGCTCCCAACTTAGAATTGAAGAGCGCATTTCATTTCATAAGAAAATCTTCATAGTGGCCATCTACGTGGACGGCATCAGAAAAGTTTGCCCCGAAAACATGGTGCTCTGGTCGAGCTCAATGGGGTTCTCGACTGATCGTGTACCGTTACGACGGGTTCCGAAGGGCGGGTTCCGAGGGGTTTGCATAGTTAGAGCTAATGTCCCTAGGAAACTATCCCACGTTGAATCGATCCAAGAAATTATGTAAGAGCTTCAGGATGAAGCAGTTACTGTAGGCCTCCCTGAGCTCGACGACGGTGACAGATGACGTCATATTCTGAAGACGGTGAGGGTAGTGAAGGAGGGCGTGTACTTATAGAGGGACATTTAGGGAATATTCTGCTGAGGAACTCTCAACGCAATCTCTGCGAAGAAAAAAGGCCGAAGTGCGACCTGGGCAAAATGTCTTTTTTTCTGCCCCTCCCCTGTATAACCCACCTAAAAATCTCGAATACGACCCCTCCTCAGCTCGGGTTAATCACCGTATACAAATCTGTATTTTCATCCTGCCAGACTAGTTCGGTAGAAATCCACTAAGCACGGAGGTTTGGCTAGCCTGTCCGCCATAGGCTTGTTCTATGATTCGCACGCGCCGGTAACCAGCGCCAATTGCCATTACACCACTTGCGTTTTTTGAATACAATAAATGGAAAGGAACCAAACCACAGACCTGGGTTCGATGAGACCGCCAGTGTCGCTGGTTTTCTGTAGCGGAGAATTAGCAGGAAAGTTCATGAAGATCAATAGAAAAGCCGCAAGGTGAACAACTGTTCCTAGGAAAATAACAGAATCTCGTCCAAATTTCTTCGTTCGATCGCCAAGAATTCCAAATATCAGTCCTGCTGAAAACAATCACTCTCAGTGCTAATTTTCGCACAATCACGTTTTTGGTCCATTTAATTGTTTTCAATGGTCGAAAATACTTTTAGAAAGTAAATGGGAAAATGAACCCGGATGGAGCTGCAAAGTCTGACTCGGCTTTGAAACAGCAATATTTTAGAAGAGGGTGGGATACGGTGGTTTGACCCATGGGGTCAGCGCAATGAAAACATTCTGAAATAGGATGAGTGACCACGCCGTCGAGTGACAGGGCTTTGAAGATGAAAAAAATCGTTTGGTCTCAGCGCGGCAGTGGTATATGAAGGGGCACAGTTCCCAACTCGGACCTCAAGCGGAGGCTCTGGCCCGCGGTCGAATGTTGTCAACTGATACCAGGGGAATTCAGCTCAAAATCAACTTTTTTGGTAAAATAAAGGTGAGAATGCAAAGGGGGATTGTAAGACCAGGAATCTCACTACCATCGCAGCGAAACAAAAAATAAATCGTGAACTTCACCTGTAGTCTTCCTATTCCTGTGGCGATCAGTTTAAGTCGCTAAAAAGAGTTAGGGATTTGTTCCCAGTGTTGCGAAAAAGATGCAGGTGGATAAAACATGAGACATGTTATCTATTCATGGCCACAGGATACCGAAAAGGGCGTTCATAGTTCGAAGATCCGCGAGAGTAGCGACAATGAAAAACATATGTATTGACGGGGAGATTAGGATAGTAGTAGAGTAGGAGATTGCGCTGACAAGATTAGATACGTATCGATTGAAATCGCTGGAGAGTAGTAGATTGCGATATTACGATAGTAGGATAGTAGTAGATAGGATAGTGCGCTGACAAGATTAGATATGTATTGATCTATTCGCTTGAAGTCGCCCAATCTACTACTCTCCAGCGATTTCAATCGATACGTATCCAATCTTGTCAGCGCAATCTCCTACTCTACTACTATCCTAATATCCTGTCGCCTACTATCCTAATCCCGAGTCGCGAACTATGAACGCGGCCAAAGAGACCACTACCTGTCCAAAACGATTGCTCGATTCCCGAGTACGCAAAAACAAATGCTAGTAGGAGCATTTCCTTTGTGAACATCAAAGAAATGGTTGAG